AATATCATTCCAGCAAGTAATACAGGTATTTAAACTTTTTTAAATGCCTTTCAGTGCTTTGATTTTGTTGTTGTTGCATTTCAATTTAGAGAAAAATATACTATCCTGTAAATGTTTAAATTTAAAATAAACCAAATTATGTCAATATTTTTCCTGGAAGCCGTGGATCCATACATCACTCTGATAAGGCAATACTATCTAACCAGAATCTAACTTTAAAACCCTTTGAATGTAGCAGCTGGATATTTAAAATATGTACATGTATGTCCAGGGTATGTTACTTATAATATGATTGGTGCAGATAGCTTTTTATGGAGAATGATTAACGTCCAAGCTGAAGTCAAGTGGGTGATACTGACTTTTAAAATCCTGGGGTCAAGATAATTTAAATTACTGATGCTTTATTTGGTTTAAATACAGGTTTGAGTGCCTACTAGGCAGAGGTATAATTTAAATATCTTTGAAAATAGCATCTCTAATCTAAGTTGCTGGTGGTTGCACATTTTCTTCTGTAGCAGGTGATTTTTTTTAATTGCACCTTTATTTTTATAAATAAGGTAGCAAACATATCTAATACTTATTCCTCCTGTTTTCCCCACAACAACCTACCCTTGAGGTGAGTTTGGCTGAGAGAGAATGACTGGCCAAAAGTCACCTAACTGGCTTTCATGCCTAAAATGGGACTAGAATCATAGCCTCCTGGTTTCTAGACTAGAGTCTTAACCACTAAACCAAATCAGCTGTCATTGATAAGCTGTAGGATCCAGGGTTTGTGTGTGTGTAGAGGAGGGTATACTCTCATCATATTCATAGTACTTCCTCTTCCTTTCTGCTTTGGGGGAAGCATGTTTACAATGTGTCCAGGAACCCCCAAAGCAATTATTACAGCACAAGCAACAGAGTGGTCAACGCCTGGAATGCCCTACCCGACTGCGTTGTTACAGCCTCAAACCCTCACAACTTCAACCTCAAACTGTCTACCGTGGACCTCACCCCATTCCTAAGAGGTTCATAAAGAGGGCGTACATAAGCGCACCAGCGTGCCTACCACCCCTGTCTTATTGTTCTCATTTATCTGTATTTACTTCCTTTGTTCATGTTTATGTTCATACCTATACTTGTTATCTTGTACATGTTTGACAAACAAATAAAATAAATAAATAAAAGATATCGATACTATATCAGTATTACTGGTCCAGTAAGAATTGTTGGCCCCACATCTTGGAACGAAGGACCACAGAGAAATGATCAGAGAAATGATCAGAGAAAACAGCATGAATGAAACAGCAGCCTATTTTTTCTCAAAATATTGAATAGCCAGGAACTGGCTAACTCGGCATACATATGATTATAGATGCTCAATTTACATTTTCTTTGAAAGCATACCAACTTCCTGTATTAAAATAATGCTTGCTCCATAGTTTGATGAGTGCAGATTTGGAATGTTTGACCAATGAGGACATTTGGAATTTTGAAAGCATACTGTCGGTATTCTTACCAAATAATCATAATCAATTTGTTGCCTTTGTTATTACTGGGCACTAAGGAAATGCTCATTAGTAAAACAGTGCATGTATCAAGTGAACAACACATAAAGAAACAATATGTCAAGTACTGAAACTAGAAACCTCTGGTAGAAGACATGCATTTTGAAACACACAACTTAACAAAAATATTCCTGGTAGAATAAAAATATCTTCCCTATTCATCTTATAATGCAATAAAATGCCCATCACTTGCATTTTCTTAGTATTGTTATGTGCCATTTGTTTTCTAGAAGGCTGAGTTTACTAGACCATGTTGCATTCATTACAATAGCTCACTAAAATAAAATAAAAATATTATAGAATGTCTCAGAAAATGCTAGGAACTATTCTTAGGCCATGCACAGATGTATATTATAAAAAATAATCACAAATTATTTGAAACATCACATTTTCACTTGACTTCGCAATGGCATAGATGATAGATCAAAAATGTCTTACCTGATCCAAAATCTACAAAACAAAACAATCTATCCTACAGAAAATGAAAGAGAATATGCTACTGAAATTCACATGCCCATAGCAGTAATTATGTTTTCAAGATCAGTTTTATATATGGGATAAAGAAGTATGGTGTATAATCAGGAAAACCTAATAGATTTGTTCCTAAAAGTAATCAATTGAGCTAGATGTGAAAGATACTTCCCTGAGCTTTGAGCTTGGTTGTTTGCTTGCAGACATAGCATTTTTATTCAGTTTACTTCATAACACAAAATCTATTACCTGAACTTTAGGATTTGCTATTACTTCCTAATAATAATTCAAGTTAAATGAACTGTTAGAAAATGTTTGGCATAACTATCTAAGAAGCAAATTATCTTGGTCATATTTTTCTTCCTATCTTAAGCAGTTGTCAGAGTGATAGAAACGGAAATGACATGGCTCTTGTTATTTTGGAGAAAACAATATGAATTGGCAATTTACTTTACAACAGTATTTATAACTGCCTTTCCATTGTATAAGCCAGGGGTCGCCAACCTTTTGGACCTCAGAGACCACCAAACTCATAATTTTAAATCCCGGGGACCACTAATATGAATTTTGACTGGCAGTGAGCTGTTGTTGGTGGGAGAGAGAGAGAGATCTGATCTAACCTCTCTCTCTCCCTCCCTCCCTTCCCCCCCCCTCACACACACACACGGGATTCAAATTTCTTAACAACTGCTTCTGTGGGAATTGCCTAATTTGTGGGTGTGGTTTGGTGGTCATGTGACTGGCTGGGCATGGCTTGTATGTAAATATTATAAATATTTATATAAATATTGAATTTTTTATAACAAAAAGAGCAACTTTTACCCAAAATCAGGCAAAGCAGGCAGGCAGATTGAGTTGCTCATAGAATCACAGATTCACTTAGAGATCTGTGTTTCTGCCATTGGCTAGCTGAGTCTGCACTGCTTCAGTCCTAAAGAAGGTTCGGCTCTCTAACTGTTATTTCTAAAGAAATGTTATTCAGAGGCATCTGGTAACTATCTGGACACAGTACATATCACAAAGCAGTGTTTCTTAAAATATAGTCCTAGAATCCTTTCAAGGATCCTCAAAATCATTAACAGCCTATGTTGAAAAATAATACAATAATAAAATCCCACCAAACAATTGTAAGAAGGGGTAGTTGCAACAAATGCATCAATTTCAAATATTGATAAATATAACCCATACAAACAAAAGCTCTTGGGGCTTCTCCACAATTTTTTAAATTGAAAATTTGTCCTGAAGAGAAAAAAAAGCATATAGTAATCTATGTTGTTCATCCATGAGACATGTTTTATGCCAGAGTAAGATATGCAAGACTCTAAAATAAATTTCCTGCAATAACAAAAAGGGGCATAGAAAAACAATAAGCAATCTACGAACAATGACTTTTCAAAGTTAGTATTTTAAAATGTTTGGGATGGAGTATTTGATTTGATACTGAAAGTAAAGTTGGGGACAATCTTATCATGCTTGGCAATGTACCATAATAAAGATGTTTAAGTTATAAATATGTAATATGTTAAAAGGCTCTTATCTAAACAATATTATAAACTCCTGTCATGTGCTCTTATTATCAGTTATCATTCATGTATTCTTAAGAGTTCGTGGATGTAATGTAATATTGTTGTTCTGTCAGTTGTGTAAATGTGACTTTTTTGTTTGGTATGCTATTGAACTTTTAGATTACTAAAATGCAAAAACCATGTTGCTGTGCTTGCTTATTGAACTTTGCAACCAGATTGCAAAAAGTATTCACTGGCAAAAAGTTGCATGAATCCAATATCAGAGAGGGATGTTTTGCACTAGTGTTATTCATAAGCTATTTGATTTAGTGGCTTGACTGTTTCTTCTTTGCTCGGCTCAGTTTTATGACTGGCTGGGCAGGTACAGACTATCTGTTTGTTGCTTTTGTTGTCTGCTGTGAAAATTTTTCTATCCATCTTATTTCCATCCTACAGCCTACAACTATCCCAAAAAAGTTGTTTTATTATTTGTTTTCTGTCAACTAGTTTGAGGGCACTGTGCTGGAATGGATTATGTATTAAAGTTAATAGTTCTGTTAATACAGTTCTGTTTTTCTACCACTTTGCTTTTTTGTTATTATTTTAATGGTTCTGCACATTCTTGATTATTATGTACACTGCCCAAAGTCACTAAAGCAGGATAGGCAGCTTATACAAATGTGCTTAAATAAATAATAATTAAAAAATAATACATCTCCTATATAATCATTTGAAAACCAATGGCCAACCCATTGGCTGATCTTCTATGGGATGTAAATGTGAAAGTGAGGCTTTTGCCTTGTCTTTGGCAATCGCCACGGGCAAATATTAGTCTTTGCTTGGACTTTTCTTGGCCGCCTGTGTCCTGTGTGTCCTCCGTGTGGCTGTGCCTCCTCCGCGGGACACCCTAATCCTTATTTTCTGGATTAAGATGTTGAAGATGACCCGAAAGAATCATCCTTGGGGGTCAGGGGAAGTTCGGGTGGGGCCCGGGCAGTCCAAACAGGCCCCATCCTCATTCCTGGCGAAATGTTTTTTTTTCTGAGCATGGCTGGTTCACCTCATCCTTCCTCCTTCCGGAGGCAGCGGTGGGAATGATTTGCTGCAAATGACATCAGCTGCCTGTTGGCAAAGCGGCGGCGGCGGTAGCAGCAGCGCGTGGCTGTGCCGGGTCTCCCCCACCCCGCCTGTTCGTCCTCAGCCGCCGCCGCCGCCGCCGCCTCCTCCCTCCGCCTTCTGGCCAGGTCCCAGCCCCGCACTGTCTCGGTATAAAAACCCGCCGCCTCCCCGCCCTCCCTCACTCTCCCAGCTGCCTGGAGCGCGGCGGTGCCTCTCGGCGCGCTTCTTCTTCTCACCCCCCCCCGCAGAGGGAGGCGCCTTTGGAATTAAACCCTTTCGTCGCCTCCCGTCTTTCCTCCGCCGTCGCCTCGAGAGAAGAGGCGAGGGAAGGCGCTGCGAAGGAGGGAGGAGGAGGAGGAGGACCAGGAGGGAGGAGGCGGCGGCGACGACGGGCTTGCCAGGATGGCGACGGTGGTGCTGGAACCCGAGTCGGAGCCGTCTTGTAGCCTTCCCAGCGCGGTGCCCCCTTCGCCGAGCCTGTCGCACCGTTTTCTCGACAGCAAATTTTATCTGCTGGTCGTGGTGGGCGAGCTGGTCACCGAGGAGCATCTGAGAAGAGCCATAAGCAATATAGAGCGAGGTAAGGCGGCGGCGTTGCCCTACTAGTACCTCCCGTCCAGTTTCTCCTCTCTTCCTTCTCTCCTGCAGGATTTTCGGGAAGGGGGACTTCGTTTCCCCCCCCCTTCCCTTCCCTGTCCCCCCCCCCCCCCCCAGGAGCGCTGGCTTGGCCGAGGGGAAAGGGAAGAGATCAGAGGCGCCCTACAGGTTGCACAAAAGTCCTTGCTGCCACCGTCTCTTGTGGTGGAAAGAGAGAGAGAGAGATTCGCTGCAGTTACCCGAGCTGTGATTCTGCCTACGACCTTGGTACCCGCCGCCCCCTCCGTTCCCATCGGAACTTCTGTTCCTTGCCTGTTTATGGTGCAATTCTCGGGGACTACTTGGGCTGATCTCCTGGTTCCAGCCCAGTGGAGATCCCAAAAAGGAAAATCTGATGCAACCACTCCCTTCTCTCTCTCTCTCTCTCTCTCTCCCCCGCCCCTTCCCCTCTTTTCTCTATGTGGATGCTTGTGTTAGGAGGGGTGAGGATTCTCTCTCTAGAAGTGCAGTGCTACTGTAGCCAGCCGTGTCAATATTTAAACCCCCCCCCCCCATCTCGGTCCCATTTTCCAGAGAGATTCACACTTCTAGGCGTGCCCTGTGCAGAGAAGAAAGAAAGAAGCTGCAGGGAGGCACTGAAGGGTGTGGAGGCAGCAGTTCTTGCCTGATGAGAGAGGAAGACATGGCACCCTTGTAATTGATGGCTTTGTTGTTGTTGTTTTTCTTTTAACCATAGCTGACTTCGAACAACAAGGAGGTTAAGAGTTGATCCCCTCCTCATTCTTAGGAAAACCTTGTTCTCTGGGGATATGGCAATTCATCCATATTTCCAGAGATGTAGGACAGGAAGCAGAAGGAAATGAGATCTTGGGAGGGTTTTTTACTAGATGAAATACATTTCCTGGAGATGTATAAGGATGCCTCCGCTTCTGAAAGGGGCATATATGTGGGGTGTTGGGAGTATTTTGCCTTTCCACAGAAAGATCTGCAGTTGACTTTGGCATTTTTGCTGCACCAAGAGGCACAAGGAAGGAGGGTGCAGTTGATCTTGAGTTTTACTTTTTCCTTCTGTGAGTCATTCCTGCCCTCCCTATTGTCATCATTCACACACATCCATCCCACCCCCCATTCTAGCACAGAGCAAAGGTCGTTCCAGTCTTTGCTTGCCAGCAACAGTGTCTCCTTTTTCTTTTTCTTTTTTTTTCTTTTTCCTCCCACCTCTCTATGCTGCTGCTAGAGAGTCTGCCCAGAGATACCAGGCGGTGTGGTGGGCGTGGTGCAGTCCGCAGTGCGGTCCCTATGGCAGCCCATAGCTGACAAAGGGCGTTTATACAGTCAAGGAGAAAAAGAGAATTAGATTTAGGATCCAGTTGCTCCCTGAAAATTGAGGAGAAAGGGCTTTAGAAAGCTCTGGGGCTGCAAAATATGCCACTTCTGAACAGAAATACAGCAGCTTCTTTTGTTTCTAACTTTCGGCCATAAGTGATGTGGAATTTTTCCCCCCTCACGCTTTCTGAGCACAGTAGAAATATATTTTTTTCAAGACAACATGCAGAAATTATAATTGTAGAGTAAGGAACACTTTATTTGTTCTATCTTACTGTTGCTTGGATACAGATTATTACAGTTTCTTTCAAAAGTCGCAGTACTGTAAATTTAAGAAAAGCAAAATGATACGTATTTTTGAATATCAAAGCTGGTTATATTCATAACCGAGGCAAATTTCCCTTTGATTATTCTTTCCTTAGAAAAGGAAAGCAAAGGATTTCAGCCATTGTCAGGAACCCTTGGCTACATTTAGGTGTGGTTCATAATTACTTTGGGATTTGTTCTTGATTTTGTATTCTAGTAAATTTGCATTGATAACTCTTTCTGTAATCATACCAAAAGTTGCTGGAAATAATCTTTGATCATTTTCTTTCTAGCTACACCTAAAAGTTTTAGATTAAGTCTGAATTTGTTGCATTTTGATTAATAATTTAATAAGATTAAGGCATTTGATGTCAGTTTTTGCTTCAAGAAAAAGAAACAAAATTCCTATATTGATTTTTGTTTGGTTTTTGTTTTTTGTTTTTTTATTGCATAGTTCAATTGTAGCATTCCTGATACTGCATTCTGAATACAAAATGATGACACTTATAAACATTTGGGGGATTTTCCCATGTCAGTCGTTTAAACCTTGATTAGAAAAGTCTAGAGATTTCTTTGTTAAAATAAACAGCAGCTTGATTAATGTCTAGTTGAACAAGGCTTTTGCAGCAGGGCCTTCCTGGTTTCATGAATCTGCACTCTTAGTTTTGGCCCTTGGACACCACCCTGGAAAGTGCTCAATTAATATGAATCACTGCAGAGAAATCTGAGAGCCCATCATCTATGGATGACGTAGTAAAGGATTATCTTGAATGAATTGAAAAACGTTTTTTTTTTAATATTACCAAATGAGATTTAGAGATGATAGCTATTTAATAATTATAGAAAATCAACTACAATATTTATTTCCATATATCCATTCCTCACCCCACCCATCCCAATACTTTAAAACCTATGGAAAATCTAACAATTGTAAGTCTGCCCAGATTGCTGATAAGACCTGAACTGACAGAAATGATTGACAGACCTATTTTTATTTTTTAGAAGGGAAATAAAAATTCCTTTCAGTAAAATGAAAAATTCCTTTCATTTTAGTAATCACTCATGTTAATATATAAGACCAACTTTTCTACTTTTTAGTGTAGAATCCTGTGTGATAATTGTGTGAGAAATGCTGACTCACAGAGCTCTTTTGTGCAGACTGATTTAACAGTGGATCTTTAATAGGCTTCCATATTTAATTTCAAACAAGGCTTGCTTTTTGAGAACTTATGATGTATATCTATTGTTTTTAAAAATAATTCTTGCAAAAGCCAGTATTCTAAAAATAACTGAATTTGATTACCAAATGCTCAATAACATCTTCCTAACTTAGTGTTCTCAAACGTGATAGCTAAGGATTATAAGATTTGATACAAAGCAATCTTTCAGAAATGTCCAGCTAAATCTTTCATTTACCAGAATGAATGTTCATATAACATAAAAATTGAAAATATTTCAGTTCTGTCATATTTGTGTGAATGATCCAGAATATATTATCCATATGTTTCTCATTCTGAAACAATTTTTGTTAACTAGATCCCATAAAATATGAACACTTACATATTCTTTGTATACCTGGAAATGATGTGAAATGTATTAAGATTAAGAAAAATAAGATTCAAAACATAGCAAACCTGTATATCCTAATATAATAACTGTAGTACCCTGTTTCTCCAACAATATGGCCTCCCCCAATAGGAAGTCCCAGCATGTTTTATAGGCATGAAATAAAATTAAGCCCCTCCCCCCAAATTAAGGCCTATATTAAAACATGCGAAATGGTGGGGGGGCTTGCCGTTAGGAAGTACTTTTGTTGCACACCTGGATATGGTGCTGCCTGTGTTGACCCCGATACGAAGTGCCCCACCAACGCCGAGGTCAACATCCAAGCCGTCGCTGCCCGCCCGCCCAAAGATGCAAGGGGGGGGGGGAATTAAGTCACCTCCGAAAAGACAGCCTAGCCATTTTTTCGGGGCTCAAAAAAAAAAAAAGACCCGGCCTTATTATATGAGAAACACGGTAGGTCAGAAGAATTTTCTGTATATCTTATAGAAAAACTATTAATCAGATGTCCTCCAAATAGTCCAAATAGTTTTTAAACACTCTGTACAATTTAGATCAGCCTGATTTTATACTAGTCAAAGATTTGTAGTCAAACAGGAGAAAAAGTTTTTAAAATATGATACATGCACTATTGGATGTAAGAAATTCTGGGTCAATGGGAAGATCTTCCAACAGAAAGTATTGCATGTCACGGTAGATAATAAATGCTGACAGTATGTAGAATGATGTCCTACATTCCTAATCAAGGCAGAAGTTGCTTTCTGTCAAGTCAAACCTTTTGTGGAAATTTGGCAGAGATTTACTAATGATGTCACAGTTGAAGTGGAGAAAACCGAAGAATAAATCACTCTTTGGACTTTTTTTGACATTATTGAATTTCAAAGAGTTCCATTAAAAACAGGATAAAAGCAAACTGATTGATTTAACACAATAATATGGATTACCCTTAGGAAATTTTCAAAAAGGCACACTTCCAAAATTGTGTACTCAGTGCACTCAGCAGATTAAAATATTATTTAATTTCACTGGCTTAAATTTTTTAAAAAGTAAGCCAACCTGATGTATTTTTAATAGTTCTGGAAGCAATTAGAATGAAATAATTTCTAGAAAGCATGAACATGGTTTAATTATTTTATTGAACATTTATTTATAAAATATTTTCATTTTGTTGAAATAAAACAAAAACGAGATTAGCAACTCAGCAGATATGCTGCTGAAGCACTGAAAACTGTTGATGTTTTAATTTAGCACACTCTTATGTTTTTGCTGTGTTGGGAATTCGAATGCTCTGTAATTCATACAGTAATCTCTCACCTTAAACAGTTCTAGCTCAATAGGTGTTATCTCCATCTGGTGTCATGGAACTGGTCTTTTACTCGAATGACAGGATTTCGTCTTCTCACCTCTGAACTCTTCCAGCCTCCAAATTGCTTCTTCAGAGAGATGATGCCTAGTGATTGGAGCAGATATAACAGGGCAGACTAAACATTGTTCTACCAGTAGACAAGCTTATAATTGGATTTATTTATATCCATTCATGACATTGCCCAATTTTTTTGGAAATAGTCTTACAGGATCATTGTTGAAATAGAGTCTGACAATAAATCTGTCAATAAATCTGTTTGTCACAGTTTTTCCAAACTTCACTTAACCATTACATTTAGATTAGATGATGAAATCTACAACCCAGTTAAAGAATTACACACACACATACACACACACACAGAGAGAGAGAGAGAGAGAGAGAGAGAGGAGAGAGAGAGAGAGAGAGAGAGAGAGAGAGATGTG